TGCTTCTCCCTCTGACCCTCCTCCCTCTCATGCTCTCTGTCTCTCATTCTCTCTCTCTCAAATAAATAAAATCTTAAAAAAAAAAAAAAAAAAGAAACATAAAAAAAGAACAACTGTGTGCCAGGATCAGGCTGACCTACTGTAACGGGGCCCCTGGGCTCTCAAAGGGCCAGGGTTTACAGGTTCCAGGGTTTCAGCAGCTAGCCTCCTCCTCCTCCCCCTGGCAGGAGCAGCCTTCTAAATATACCACGCACCTGCTGCACGGACAAGGAACACTGCTGTCCCCTGCGCAGACACCTGCGTCCGCGTCCTGCTTTACACACTTGGCAACAAGTGTTCACGCACAGCAGTGCCTGGATGATTTAAAACGTTTCAGACGGGGCCAGAGAGGACACCAACCTTCTCCTTTGACAAAGGAGGAAAACAGAAGCAAGCCTGAGTGGCCATGGAGCCGCAGGAAGCGAGGCTGGGTGGGTGGGGCCACCGCCTGTTTGGGCAACTGGATGCTGTCCAGCTTTCACCAGCTGTCCCGGGTGCGGGCCTCAGTTTCCAAAGGGACGGCCACCCCGGCTGCCGCGCTCCCAGGCAGCCACAGGTGCGAGGGCAGCCCTGGACGGTCAAGGCCACTCGGTGTGCCTTCCAGAGCCAGCACGCCGGCCTGGCAATGCGACAGGGCCCAGGAGTCAGGAAGGCGTGCTCTGGACCACCAGGCGTCGTTACCAGCGTCCTACCACACACTCAGAAGCACCAGAAGTCCCACCTACCGCCAGCCAGGAGGAGCCAGGGTTTAAGTAACAGCCTCTTTTCTAAGTCTGGCAGAACCCCAAAGAATCAGACTCCGGGTTAACTTCCTAACTGGGACCTAGGGCCAGCTTTTCCTCCCGCGGAGAAAGAGACTACCATCTGGTGACAAAGGCGCTGTCGCCAGGCCGTCACCTCTGCTGCAGCGGAAACCAGGAGCCACGCAGCAACTCCTGGACCGTCCAGGGCTGCCCTCGCACCTTGCGCAAACGCAAGGCGGCCTGGAGACTCACGTGTGGTGGGATCGCCTTCCAGAGACAACCAGCCGAACGAGGAGCTGGCGTTAGAGATGTCGGACAGGGTCCGGCGGGCCAGCGCGGCTGGCACCGGCGGCTTAGGGACGTCGTAGCCGTCCTCCTCATTTTCTGATCCCTCGGGGCCGGCGCCCGCGTGGCCCATGGCCAGATTCCCTTCACCTATGGAGGGAAGTGTGTGCCATCACCATCTCCTTACACACCGCGTCCGCTAACGCAGCTCGAGGGAAACCCATTCATTCCCGCACGTACAGCCCCGAAGTTACCGACCGTCTAGCCCGGGCCAACCACCAGGTGAGGCCCTGTGGGTGGACATAAAAGGACAGAGAAAACGCAGTCTGTACCAGTCCCGCAGCTCTGCTTTCCCGGACGGGGCGAGAGCTACCCCCACCAACGGTGACAGCCACCGACGCAAAGGCTCAGCGCCATCTTACAGCATCCATTCAGCAGCTCTATCGGCATTTCGCCTTGGAGGAGCAGCCGAAGGGCCTGTGTGTGCTGCCTTCTTGAACTTTCCCCTTGGGAAGCTAGCTGATATGGGAATGGAGTATTCGCCACCCACACACAAAAGAATTTCATCAATGCTAAAAAGCCAAGGAAATAAAAGGGAGCTGCCAGCACGGCAGGCCCAGGCCCTATAACCCAAGTGTCTCTAGGCCCTGGAAGGGTGAAGAGGCACAAAGGGAACTTGCTGTGGGAACGGGAAATAAGAGAGAGGAGAGGGTTTTGCTGCCCATGGATCAAAGATATTTTGCAAAGGAAATTATTTAATAGAGTTCCTGCTAAGATCAAGCTGTCTCATTCCTATGACACAGCAATGGTTTTCCAAGTGGCAGAACGGCTACTCACCGAAGGGGCCGCTCTCTGTGGCAGATGGCGTTGCCTGGGACTGAATATTATACATCGCTTCGTATGTACAGCTATCGATCGGCTGGTCACAATCACACACTCTGAACCAGAAGGAAGGGGCAGAGGATCTTCAGAAACAGAACTCTGTTACCTGCAAACTGATTAAGACTCATCTATTCTTCACTATTCCAGACCCAGAGTCTATCAAGAGGACACAATGCTCCTTTGCCAGGATCACTAACAAATGTCCCAAGACTGACTCTTCTAATAGATGCGTGTTTCCGAAATGACTGTGACAGTGAGGAAGCGTAAGTGGAATTGCTTATAGCTGCAAGAGGCCAAACATCAGGGGCTGCATACATCTTTCTGCTTTACTTCTGGCTGGATGACACTGCACACGCAGCAGCCAGGCAGGTGCGTGGCGTCACCCCAATTCCCAGATGGGACTGTCCTGAGCCTACCGTGAACTCTGGGTTGTCTCCAAAGGCCGTTTCCCATCTGGCTTCGGCAGCCCTAGAGGTCTGGAGGAGGGGGTCATATACTCTGTGTCCTCCTCACTTTCACACTGCTCCCCAGGGGGCAGCTTTGGCACAGGAAGAGGCCTGGAAGAGGAAGAATAAAAGACAGAGAAAGAAAATGAAAACAACTAACAAGCTGTAAAACTTGCAAGTATGAAATGAGTGCCTTCAACCAGGGCACGACTCAAATCTGACAGAGCAGAAAGGATGCCACCTAGGGAACTGTTACTTCTCCCGGCCAAGAAAGGGCATTATTACAAAAGGCACTGATAGATTTCTGCTCTCAGCTGACCACAGATGCAGCTACATTGTCTGAGATGGGTTATACAGGCGCAGTACTTGATACTCGTTAGTCTCAGTCCCCAAAGAAGTCGGGAGTCCCCGTCCCAGGGCTGGAGCACCAGGTTCTCTCTCGCCGGCCTAAAGGAGCAGCGGTGGCTCTCGGACAGTATGCGGCCAAATCCCTATTCTAGAATCTACCTACAGTTTCAAAGAGTAGACAGCTTGTCAAAAGCTTTCTCATAGGTTATGTCATAGTATAAACACCTTTTCTCCTCGTCTGATATAAGAAACATCTGAAATAAAGAGATCAGGTCCTTGGTAGCTTAGCACCAAATCTGAGACCAGGCCTCCCATCTTGACTCCTGTGTCAGGGATCTTGCAGTTACACCCAGAGCTCTCACCCAGAAACTCTGGAACCAAAACCTCTCCTGCTACCCACCCCCTGAAACCAAACACAAAAATAACAAGAAAACAAAACAAATGCACAAATTAAGAAACACACACATGCGCACAGGCACACACACATTCACCCAACTGCTCCTGGGAATGTGAGCTAAAGCCAGTATCTCCTCCCTCCCTCTTTGTACTGTTTCTGTACATCCTAAACACTCTGAAACTAGAAGGAGCACCTACTGGATTCGCCTGTGTTTACTCAATGTTTATTTTTCCCAGTTACAAAAGCAACAGCTGATTGATTGTAAGACCCTTAAATGCTACAGAAACCTAACACAGACAGTCCCTATAATCTAACTTGAGATTTTTTTTTTCATGTCTTCATGTTAATTTGTGCGCTGCATGCTGTGGTTTTGAGGTGGAAATGTATTAGTATCTACAATTTGCTCTGAAATGTGTCCAAAAAGATAGACTGATGGATGGATAGAAGTACAGATAGAGGGGCGCCTGGCTTGCTCAGTCATGGAGCGTGCAACTCTTGATCTCAGGGTTGTAGGTTCAAGCCCCACATTGGGTGCAGAGTTGTTTTTTTTTTTTTTTTTAAGATTTTGTTTATTTATTTGACAGACACAGCGAGAGAAGGAACACAAGCAGGGGGAGTGGGAGA